ATCAACTGCTTTGCATATGTTGCAACAGCTGAACTAAACTGTAATTGCTATAAAGTGATAGTGTTCTTGATGGTAATTTTACCCTGAAATACAAAGAATATGAAAAATGTAAACATGAAGCTATAATTGTTCTTGAAATGCAAAATTTTCATTCCTAAACAATAATAGATGATAATTTTCTCAAGGTTAGGTAACTAATTTACTGGTACAATAAAATTATTATGACTTCATTTTTAAAACACTTATTTTTTATTTCAAAAGGGGGAAAGGAAAGAGAGAAAGAAAGAGAGACAGAAGGAACTAGAGAGCCTTGCTCTATGCTAGTTCACTCCTCAAATGTTTGGAAACCTAGGACTCGATCCAGGCCTCAACATAAGTGGCAGAGCACATGAATTTACACCATCAACTGCTGCCATTAAAGATTCATATAAGAGGAAACTGGAATTGTGAGCAGACCCAGTAATCAAACGTGGGCACTCAAATATGGGGTGTGGTCATCCCAAGTGATATCTTAATGCTTGTCTTAAATTTAATAATTATCACATAATTTTGCAATTTGTAAATTGTAATTGTATTCCTAAATAAAAATACTCAAGTTTAATTGTCTATATGGAAAGAATACATGCAAGAGAACTAACTGAAGTAAGTTGGACTATTAGCATCCATATGAGGAGACACTGTAGTGCAACAGAGGGTGATAAAAGGTGGTACCTATAACAGGTGTGGAATTGTAATTTTCATCCAAAGAGTTTCAATTGGTTAACAAGTTAATCTTTAATGGATTAAATAAACTTCTGTTATAAAGTCTAAACATGTTCCTCTGTGCTCTCACATTCTTTTTTAATCTGTTAAATATCTTCTCATTTCCTTTTATCAATTGGTTACACTATTTATTTCTAGCACATACAAATACCTCTAAGTTAATTTGAGCTATGCATATTTCAGTTACCATAGCCTTACATTGTAGACAATTTTCTGTCATTGTTATGATTTAAGAGGAAACAATGCTCTCTGCAAAATTATAAGGAATAATAATTAACAGAAAAAGACAGATTGTTAAAAAGGTTGATTGTATGCTTATAACACCAAATGTCAGAGCCTTCTAAAGATCGGATCTCCTTCAGAAGAGAGAATATTATTTTCTGTGTTCCCATACTCTTCCATAAGAACCTAAGTAAATGCATGACAATTTCAATATATACTCCAAAGAACTGGAGTGGAGATTACCCTAGTGTATAGAGGATATATTCATTATATAGTAGAATACATATATATATATATATTTATATATATACACACATACATACATACACAGATATGTATGTTTAGAATTACTTACTCTCTGAAGTTTTTAAGATTATTTGACTCTGGTAGTTTCAGCTGAACTAGGAAAAGCAATTAAGTAGATGACCAGAAATGACAGAACCATAATATTTAAATTACTAATAGACAAAACCATTAGAGAGGGAAAACTTGCCATGATGAGAATATAAATGTGGGTACATAGATGAGTAACTATTTGCAGAGAGATCTAGAAGGCAGCATAAAGAAAGGCAGGGAAAACAGCTGGCTGAAGTCATAAGTGATGCTAGGCAGGCAAGAGATCCGGATACATAGCAGTGAACAACACGGCAAGCAAGGAGCTTGCACATTTCTTTTCACCTCATGCCGGCTCTCTCTACACAAAACAAACCAAACAGCAACTGGTGTATGTGTTCTCATTGCATCATTAAAAGAGGGAACTTATCCCCATGCCTCAATATAGCCTTATATTAGATCCATAATGACGGATCATATCCTCTGTTGAATCCAAACAATGAATTAGAATTTGAAGCCTCCATTCATCTTGTGTCATCTGAGACCAACTTCTTGCTCCACAATCTCTTCATGGCATTTTTCACTTCTGCATTTCTCAGTGTATAAATCAGAGGGTTCAGAAAAGGTGTTCCAATTGTAAAAAACACTGTTATCATTTTGTCTATAGGGAAAGTGGTGTTAGGACGTGTGTATATGAACATGCAAGGAACAAAGAACAGGATGACCACAATGATGTGAGAGATGCAGGTAGAGAGGGCTTTTCTCCTCCCTTCAGCGCTGTGGTTCCTCAGAGAATGTAGGATGATCACATAGGAGAACATCAGCATGAAAAAGCTCACTGTGCAAATGGCCCCACCATTGGACACCAGGAGTAGGTTGATCACATAGGTGTCTGCACAGGCGAGCTTCAACAAGGGCTGCAAGTCACAGAAATAGTGATCAATCACATTAGGCCCACAGAAAGGTAAACTCAAGACAAGGGAAATCTGAGCTGAAGAATGCACACAGGACCCCACCCAGGCTAAGGCCACCAAGATGGTACAGACCTGGGGGCTCATGATGGTCGTGTAGTACAAGGGCTTACAGATGGCCACATAGCGGTCAGCAGCCATGAGGACAAGGATGAAGATCTCCAGGCAGCCAAAAAAATGGCACGTAAAAACTTGGATAAAGCATTCACTGAAAGAAATAGTGGCTTTCTCCAAAAGTGCATCTGCAAT